TCTCTAATCGAGCGCGACTACTTCTTCCCTCTCTATTCAGTTCCACGATTTTGTTTTATTGGAATAGCTAGTCTCCTGGAGGTCGTGTATGTAGACTCTCCCTCCCATGAAAGTAACAGTGAGCAAAATTGCTTGGTCATTGTCAGTCACCGAAACCGTTAATGAAGGAGTGGCAGTCTGCTCCCCCGATCGCCAACACGGTGGCTTAAGCATATCGTCAAGATATCGCGCGAAGACTCAGAGAACGGTGCGCCGGGCAGAACCCAAGAGATTTATCATATAAAGGTCGAAGACGGTGCAGGACGTTGCTAGGATTCTCGACCGCATTGCGGGGAGTTGCCGACATGCATATAGAGTTTTTAAGGCTAATAAAGTTAACCCGTACTGCCGCGATCTTCCAGGCCCGGTTCCTGAGGGGAAGATAGAAGTCACGGGAAGGCCAGAGCGGTAGGAAGAGTATATTCTGTACAGAAGGAATGGAGAATAGGCAAGAGTAAACTGACTGTCAGACGACTGCACAACCGCAAACCAGCGGACGGCGTCTGAAGTGTTGTCTGCTCGGCAGTCGTCACATGGCATCTTGTGTGAGTCGACCTGTGATTGGCTGTTCCAGGGGCCGGTAGCAGCAAGCGTTCTCAAAGTGCATTTCGACTTGAGCTAGTCATGACAAGCGTTCGCAAGTGCACTTCGTGTGGAACTAGTGACTACCTGTACTCACGTCTATCTACATTGTGATCAAGTCCGCCGGCTACTGGAAACATCCTAAAACGGCTTGGGAATGTCCACCTTCCAAAAAAGATTCCGTCAATTCCAATGTAAAGCACTTGCGCACGCCTCCCCCGCTGCATGCTAGTCTAGTGCGTCAACAGTGCTTGATTGGCCCATATCCATGAGAAGTTGCTCTGCTCTCCTAGAAGTTTCTTCATGAAACAGCTTGATCAGAATGCTAGTCAACCCGAACGGGATGCTATAGATACACGCGTTTTTTTTCCGGTGAGAATGACTTACAGGGTGCAATAATTTTTCTCCTGGACGAACGGGTTGGCTGTCCTGTGCCAGACCTATGAAGAACAAAATGAGCTGGGAGTTATAAATTTTAACGGCGGACACACACCTGAGGGAACGGCGCGCGGTAACTGCCTCCTGTGTTTTCTGCATACTCTTTGACCTCAATAAAAAATTATCCAGTCTAACCTGCCTTTCCTGAATAATTATTTGAGAACTATCGTGCCAATCCACGGCAGTGGAATTCCCTGCACCGCCGAGACGCTGAAGCAATCTCGCATATACGGGAACTCCACCCACAAATCTGCAGATACCAACCCATCCTGCTGATAATTCTACCGTTTAGTGACGCCATGCATCGGTCAGGTGAAAACCGGAGCCAGGAAGACCATCATACATCCACCTCGACTGCCAAAACTGCCCACGTACATTCAACCAATACATAGGTCCGTGCCAGACAGCCAACAATGCTGTTCGACTTTCTTGTTCGGTGCCCACTGTCTCAAGGTCGCACAACTTCACAGTGAGCGCTTTCTGGCTCGCTAACCTGAAGAACTTTGATCGAGTTCCCTACGCGTCAAAGCAATCGTGGTTGCCAAAGGGCCTCTTGAACACACCACCTCTCGACCAATGCAGCAGGGGCCACTTTACACGACACCCCCTGGGACACTGATACATACCAATCGTACACCACTTGAACTTGCTTCACAGTCACATAAAAGCGGCTGCCATCTCTCTCCCACACACTCCCAGGCTTGGTTGGACGTAGTCAACACTAGCTTTGGCTTTGACAGTGGCTACTGCTGCCTGGGACAGCTACTGAGCATTTTGTGCACAATAGAGCCCTCATTCTGGTGACTTATCTCTTTTCCTACAACCCGGGAGTTGGCCTGATGATTTTAGTGTTCTAAGCACAATCGCTACTTAGACGCTACAGGTATACTCAATCAAAGTAGTCTCCATGAAAATCTGCGGTTTGTATCACACACACAAGCCCGTCAACCACCACAAGCACAGAATAAAAACTTCTCATGTGAATGGGAATTATGCACTTCCGCGAATCCTAGAATTTGATTAAGTCAGTTGTGGCCCACACAGACGGGCTCTCGTGGGTCTGTCAGCAACTGCACCCACTCCCGGCATTTAATAGCTCGTTGCGGTTGCGGGGTAGAGAAAGCGAGGATGTAGCCCCCAAGCGCCTTTCGCATTCACCACGCTAGGGAGCATGTAATCACGTCTCCGAACTTCCGGACCGTCAATCACAGGCGTCCCACAAATTTAGCTGCCGTCCAATCAACTGACCACACCGAGTCTCACATAACGTTTATTAGTCCACTCCCACACCCGTTTAGCGGACAGAGGCGCGCGCATGCCCGAGTCTGCTGTGCGTAGAGGGCTCAGACCACCACCAGCTTCCATAGTTCTCTAAAACAGAACCGGGTTGATTTTGGTGATCTGAGTACACTCACTGGTTCTTGGTTGTAAGGCCGACCCTGAAAACTCCGTCCCCGAGGCACTTTAAAGCACTCCTCACTGCGATCAGTATGACGTACTAAACGCCATGGCTTGGAAGGTTGCCCATTAACAGTATAACTCAGACCTCGCAGTCATCCCTATGTTTATTGCGTAACCGACTGATGGACTGAAAGCCATACCAAATGTCTTTTTGGTGCGGCCTCTCGCGCGTGTTAAATTTGAGTCGCATAAACCTTTCTGAAAAGATGTTGTATTGTGCAGGGTGTAAGGTCATATGTATTAGGCCTAGGCGGATCAGATGATCTCCTTGTCGTACGAATCTTTTACGAACCCGATAATTCGGATGAACAATACAATGGTTCAGGCAAAAGAATTACTTCTGCGCCCCACCCATTTCAAAGTAGGTCTCTAAATCCAAATCTCTAAATCTAGTAGATAACTGAAATGCAGAGCATACAGTAGCCGACAGATCAGGACCAAACTTACGAGGAAAGGCGTAATAAATTTTAGTTGCCGAATTGCAGTGCAAGGGCGCCGCAGATGTTGGAATCGCCTAATATTGGATAGCTTCCAGTTATCTGTATCCGTTCATACTGAATATTGGAACAACAGACTCTTGCGCCGCTCGGACGTGAAGACAATCATGTAACAGATAACGGGTAAGGACGCTTGCTTCGAGTTATACGCAGTAAAAGACAAATCGGTCTACGTGCCTGCTGCCCAAGGAGGCAAATTTTTGAATCTGGTTGAACAATGTTTGGTTGTAAACATACGGCTGGTGACTACCAGTCATAATTTTGGGACCTTGATACTGAGAAAGTTATAGAAATGTAGTAAGTGCGTATATTTACAGCAGAAAGGTATGTACATATTGCCAAATAAGTTTCTGAAGACAAGCATTAAACGGCTCGGTCGGATGAATTTCACTCAACGATGTTTCCTCTTCTTCTTTCCAGTCGGAGTAGCAGAGTAAGGCTTCGAGTCTGGGGTTTCAAGAAAATTCCTTGTGGATAGATCTGTTTGCTCAGATTGTTCAAAGGTCTGATTATCTTCATAAGCAGAATTGGAGGCAGGCGTATTAGCTGCAAGTAAGAAAAGCATTAAAAACGTCAAATTAATTATCAAATCTTTCGTGAATACAACACGACGATAAACTACTGGTATTCTTCCTGTGCAGAATCTATGGCGCTAACTCTTACTGGTATGTTTTCCATACGCTTGCTGCTTAGCAGAAGGGCTGCTCCCACACTACCTAACGTGCGTAAGTGAGAAATCTAAACACCGTCAACCATAACCACACTCACTAAGACTGATGTCTATGGAGGCACATCACGGAGTGTTTCGGTAATTGAGTTATTTTGGTAATTCTTAAGGACAAGGCAGAGGGTAGCTGGAACATATATTTTGGTTTATTTTTGGAACGGGACGGCTGTATTTCAAACTGGTACACGCCATACTTCTGGACCACTGGTTAATTGTCGTTGAGACCATCAAACAGGGCTCTATTCCGCGGCTCGAAGGCAAAATCTAAAGTCACATCGATCTCACAAGGAAGGTGGAGAACCGAATATTAATCGCGTCCGACTTTAAAATATTTCACCGGATGCCACTGCCCTTTAGAACTTTCGCATTCTGACGAAGAAAGGCAAAACTATTTAACCATTCGGCTGATGGCTCACTTATGTTGAAACTTAGCGCACCACAGTTCCTTTAATCTGAATGTATTTGGGCGACAAGGTTCAGATCTACTTTCCGCTCAACCAAGTTCCACGCAACCCGCCAAGAAAACCCCCTCAGAACGTTTGCCAAGACTTGATGCATTCGCCTATCACAGGGGAACGAAAAGATTATAACTTTCTAGGACATAGCGGCTGTTTTCGTCCGATTTTTTGGTTATATCGAAAAAAATAGTAGTCCGACAACCTTTTGCTATGGCAGACTAGTAATTGAAGCGACAAGTAGCCAGCAGAGCCACAAGTGATATGAATAACGGAAACTCAAGTGTTAGTACTTCCGCTTTAAGAAGAGAGACTTTAAGATCAGATGAGATTTTCTTATCCTCAGGCGCAAAAGATAGACTAAATAAAAGCACGAAAAGACAACATCTTCAAATACCACAAAATAGTAAGCGCGCAGAAAACAACCACACAAAACCGCCAAATGAAAGTGACTTACTTTTTTCCAGGTCAAAATATCCATTCGTGATCTAGAATTCAGATAAATAAAATTGCTTGTTAAACTTACAGCTGCAGAAGTCACCGAAGACCTCGAAAACAACCTGTCTGTATCACGAAATTTACGTGAGCGCTTGTCATTTTGTCCCCGGTTGCTGCCAAGCGGACCATTCGCAGCGATAGCACTGAAGGCACTTCCAGAGGAGGAGGCCAAATA